ACAAAACAGGGAAACAAAGCCAGCAAGAGAATCAGAAGGACTGAACTGCATCCTGCCCTTACTAGCTGTGGGATTTTCGGCAAGTAACTTACCTCCTCTCAGCCTATGCTTTCTACCCTGTAAAATCAGGGCAATGGTACCTAACCCAAAGGCTGCTGTGCGTATAAAATGAAATAACAAAGTGGACATGCCTACAACACGGTTGGCCCCGGCAGATGCTCAGTAAATATTAGTTACGTTGGAATTAGAAAGGGTATGGTAGGGCTGTAGGAGTGTTGCTGCTGTTGTGCGCTGTTCAGCTGATTCTGACTCATAGTGACCCTATAGAAGTAGAACTGCCCCATAGGGTTTCCAAGGCTGTGATCTTTACAGAAGCAGATTGCCACATCTTTCTCCTGTGGAGCTGCTGGTGGGTTCAAACCACCGACGTTTTGGTTAGCAGCCGAGCACTTAACCACTGAGCCACCAGGGCTCTGCTGTAGGAATAGTAGGGGCAAAATGGGCGTTTATTGATTGATTCTGGGAAGTATCATTTGCTGCTGTCTTGAGCGCTACCTGCACCTTCTCTACCACTTTCACTTCATTTAGTCCACCAGCCAGCAACCATGTCAAGCACCCACCATGTGGCTGGCACACAGTTGGACTGCAGAGAGAAGTAAGACCTGGTCTTTGTCCTCTAAGAGCTCTGTAGTAGACTATTAATGACCACCCAGAGATATCAGGTGCTAGCCTTGGAATGTCACCTTATATGGTAAAGTTGTAGTCCCTGGAAGGTACAAATGATTAGCTGCTAACTAAAAGGTTGGAGGTTGGAGTCCACCCAGAGGCACCTCAGAAGAAAGGCCTGGTGATCTACTTGTGAAAAATCAGTCACTGAAAACCTTGTGGAGCAAAGTTCTACTCTGACACAACTCAGTCATCATGAGTCAGAGCTGAATCAATTGCAACTGGTTTAAGGTTCTTAGGTGGTGCAAACAGTTTGCACTCAACTGCTAACCTAAAGTTTGGTAGTTTGAATCCACCATCAGTATCATAGAAGAAAAGCCCCGTCGATCTGCTTCTGTTAAGATCACAGCCAAGAACACCATATGGAACAATTCTACTCTGTAACACATGGGGTCGCCATGAGTTGCAATTGACTTGATGGCACAAAACAACAATAATTACAGTAAGGGTTGTGAGAAGAGATTACAGTACAGGGTTAATAAATGAGATGATTCTGGATTATCTGGGTGGGCCCTAAATGCCATCACAAGCGTCTATGTAAGACAGAGGCAGAGAGAGATTAGAGACAGAAGAGGCAGAGTCAATGTGAAGACAGAGGCAGAGGTTGGAGTGATGTGGCCATAATTCAAAGGATGCCAGCAGCCATCAGAAGCTAGAAGAAGCAAGGAATGGATTCTTCCCTAGAGTCTCCAGAAAGTGTGGCCCTCCCAACACCTTGATTTCAGCCCAGTGAAATTGATTTTGGACTTCTAGCTCCCAGAACAATGAGAAAAAATTCCTGTTGTTTTAAACCACCATGTTTGTGAGAATTTGTTACAGCGGCCATCAGGAACTTATACAGGCTGTTAGTCAAGCACGGAAACAGATATACACAGAATTAACCAGAAGTGAGTGCTTTAAGTGAGGTGCCAGCAGAGAGGACTGTGACATTGATTCTACCTGAGGAACCAGGGGAAACTTCAGAGAGAAGGCTATATTTGGACTGAGTCAGTTTTAAGTCCAAGGGTGTGAAGGCAGTGAAGAAAGCAGCTCTATTACAGCAGAGGGTTATTGGTATTGTTATTGGTTATTGTTATTATAATGAGGTGAAGCAGGTAGGGCCAACTCAGATGAGGGAATGGTGTGAACTTGATGAAACAGACAATAGGGAGCCATGAGAATATCCTGAGCACGAGAGTAACAGGGAAAGCAAACCTGAAGGATGTTTTCTCAGGCACCATGAGCAAGAGGGATTGGAGGGAACTACAGCAAAAGCTGTCCTAGCAATCCAGGCATGGAAGGATGGTGGTCTGGACCAGGTCAGCTGCTCAGAGATGGCAGGGCACTATAAAAGGATGCTCAGAAGGCTGTGCTGATGAGATGGGTCCAAGGCTCCAGCCCACACAGCAGTGTTATCCACAGTACCAACACAGGGTCAAGGAGGTGGGGGGTGACGATAAGACATCCAAAAGGAAATGTGTGGTCAGCAGGCAGAGAACAGGGCCTGGAATGTGAGTGCAAAGGCCAAGCGCTACCTTGCCCCATGAAGGCTTCCTTATAGGGCAGAGCAGTCACCACTGATTCACACACTTCCTACAGGGACTCCTGTTATGGATTGAATTGTGTCCCCCAAAATATGAAGTCATGGCCCCTTTACCTGTGGATGTGTCCTGTCTGGAAACAAGGTTTTTCTTTTGTTATGTCAATGAGGTCATACCAGGGTAGGGTGAGTCCTAAACCTAATCCTTCCTGAGTTATAACAAGAGCAGAATAGACACAGAGACACACACAGGGGGAAGGCAGACACCAAAAAATGCCAAGGAACTCCACAGAATGCCAAGGAACTCCCAGAGCTACTGACAAGGGGAGGACACAGTCTGGATGATGCAGGGCAGGCTGGCTGGGATGCAGAGTGGGGTGGCACCCCAGGTGTGATGGGGAGGGTTCAACTCACCCTAGGGGCAATGGGAGGGGTCACCCCAGGTGTGAGGGGTTCTGTTTGTGATCTTCTAGCCTTTTTTAAATTGAGAAAATAAAAAAGTAGTCTTCAGTCTGCACATATGGGATTTTCCTCAGTAGAAAATCTTTGTTGTTATGATTGGTTGCCACTGAGTCAGTTCCGACTCATGGCAACTTCATGTGTGCAGAGTAGAACTGCTCCTTGGTAGTAGAAGTTAGGGTTCAGCTAATGAGTATATTTTAATTCAGCATGTATTATGCGTCAGTGATGACTTCATACTGGCTAGCAGGAGAGATGTCTGATTTCTGCTAAACTTATCCCTTTAGGATAGATTATATGGTTGAGCCATTGTTCATCAGCCTCTCACTCCTCCAAATGAGTCTTATTGTTGTTGTTGTTAGCTGCTGTCCAGCTGGCCCCCAACTCATGGCTACCTCACACACAATGGAACAAAACACTGCCTGTCCTGTGCCAGCCTCATGATCGGTTTCGAATTGGACCATTGTGAGCCACAGATCGTCTTTGGCTGATTTTTTGGAAGTGGATTGCCAGGCCTTTTTTCTAACTTGTCTTAGTCTGGAAGTGCCACTGAAACTGATTTAGCATCATAGCTACACCTAAGCCTCCACTGACAGACGGGTGGTGGTCTCCCGTGAGGTGTATTAGCCGGGAATCAAACCCGAGTCTCCCACATGGAAGGTGAGAATTCTACCACTAACCCACCACTGTCCTTAAATGAGACTTTGCGGGACAAATAAGAATCAACTAACTACCTCTTCTTACACTTTCTGCTTCCATGGCAGTGGGGCACTAAGGTGGGAGACGAGCACTGGCGCCTTCTAAGAAGGCTGATGCCCAGCCAGGGGACGGGGCTGCTTCAGGGCACCGCTTGCTTGTTCAGCTGATGCTCTGCAACCTTCCTTCTAAGAACAAGACTTCCATAACATGGAGGGTGTTTGTGACATGTGGCCTCTGGATGCAGCTGATTAGACCACAGAGGACTAAAGCAGAGCCAATCAGATTCTCTTTCTCAGGAATTGGAACCAAGACACAGAGACACTTCAGTGGGACAGTGTTGGAGCTGACACTGGAGAGACACAGAATTGTGGCTTCAGTTGGAGCCAGGACATGCTGGAGCTTAGGGCAAGCTGGGGGTGTAGGGATGAGGGCTCTGCAGAGCAAGTGAGTCTGAAAGCGGGTTAATGGAAGAGCTCACAAGGAGGTAAGGACAAGACTGTAGCTCCAGAGAGGGACACAGAGAGCAGAGCCGGTGATCTCCCTACTCCTGGGAGGCTGGGTGGCCTTACCCAGGGCCAGCCTAGGAGGTTATCTGTACACTTACACTAAGCGTTCCCTGTATGCTTATCCAAGCAAGCCAGGCCTGGGTGGGAGGGGATGGCTTCTGTTCCTCGCAACCAAACAGTCCCTAAGGCACCAGGTACCTCGAGGGTCTGACAGAACATTCTGGCCTCCTCAGAAGGGACTGCTCAGGGGTCCCCAGTCACTAACTCATCTACCTCCCCTGAACCCTCACCAGGTCCCTCATAAGGAGTTCACTGTAAAGTCCACAACAACAAGGCGTCTGCCATTATTTCATAACTTTGCTCAGGGAGAAGGGAGAGAAAGCAGGACTTCTTTGGATGCTATGATCTGGGGAGTGACAAAACCATTTTGATTCCCCTGGAATCCAGATTTCTGGGTTCATGGAATTGGGGTGACCCACCCAGACCACCTGCCCTTAGGTGTCCTTTAAGGAACTGTTTCCCTAAAATCACCTTCAAGTCAAACAACTGCCTGGTAAGCAGCTTAGCAGCGACCGTTGGGCCTTAAGCATTGGGCTCTTTTTGAGAATTATCTATGTGCAGGCAGCTTCCAGGAGCAGAACCCCAGCCCCAGGGTCCGACTGGAAAATGTATGGCATGTCCTTAGTGACTCTGTCTCTCCAACAGCCTGGACCTTGCTTGTGTTCTGATGTGATCGCCTATGAAATTAACATGACAATGACCTCTCTAACCTGCTTTCACTGTCCCCTCTTGGATATGCTTGGGCTGACGCTGCCTGATTCACGTCATATCTACTCACAATAAATATATTCTGTGACACTCCTTTTTGGTGTTTCTCTAAGTATTTAGGTGTTTGACAGGAGACTCAGATCTGAAGCCCCTGGGAGCCAAGGCTGGGGAAGGACACAACAGGCAGACACAGAATCTGGTAATGCCCGCGTCGGGGTGAGTTAGCAGGACAGACGGCTTTCTGGACAGATGGGAGTGCCCGTGGTTAGACCAGTGCACACAGTGAGGAGGGAGAGGAGCCCCCTGGGCCCGGCAGCCCCCACCTGTGATGATGACTTCATCCCCATCCAGCAGAAACTTCCTGGTCTGCCCATTCCCCAGCTCGATGGGCTTCGTCCCCCTCCAAGACAGCTCCAACATGGAGCCAAAGCTTTCCGGCTCCTTCATAACAGAAAAAGGAAGAGAGGGTCATATGTATTCATGTCTTGGTGAGCACCTCAGCTCCAAATGGACAGTGCTTAGCAAGGCTGGGGAGTCCCAGGCAGGGGGCCTCCTCCCACTGAAGACATGGCTTTGTTCCAGACTCAGCAAACCCCTGACCAGCAGGCCAGCTCCTCCAGACCCCCTCCCCACTCTGAGGCTATCCTACCATGAGACTGTTATGTGTAACACCTTCCGTTCCGAATGGGAAGAGATGTCCCACCTAACAAGAGGGTGCCATCGGGACCCTGTGGGTAGCGACTGATACCTGCACCACCCAAGGTCATCCTCTCTTAAGGTTCCATGGCTCCACCACAGGCTCACAATGGCACAGGGAGGAAGGGAAGGGCCATGGCGGGGGCGGGAGGGCCCAACGTACTGGGAGGGTGTAGTGTGAGAAGGTAACACCCAAACACAATCACGGTTTCCTGATTCTTCCCCATGTGCCATTCTGACTCTGCCCTATTTAGACAGGGACACAAGCCTCTCATTCATTCACCAGTCTCTGCAGGTTTGAACTTGGAAAAGAAGCCCCTTCCATACACACAGATGGATGAAGCAGTGAGGAAGGCAGAGTTATAAAATACAAGGCTTGGATCTCTCCTCGAGGGTGAGCTGAGGGCCATCCATTCTGTGTGCGAGCAAGCATGCTGTATATAGGCATCCACAAAGGCAACCTAGTACTCACTGGCCCGCTGATGGTTCCAGAAGCCAAGAGGTCCCCCGGCTGGAGGTTGCAGCCATTGACAGAGTGGTGAGTGAGCTGCTGCAGCATCGTCCAGTACATGTGCTGTGGGGAAGAGCAGCAGGGCTTATCCCAGGCCTCCCTGATGCAGCCGAGCACAGGCTGCCCCACTCACAACACCCTGGCTGCCCCCCAGCCAGCTCTCAGGTCCCCTACAGCAGTGACAGCAGTGGCGTCACTAGGGGAATGCAGGGGGGTACAGACCACACCGGTTAACACTGTAATAGGAGGTGACACCAAAACAAGTATAAAATTTTTGTGCAGTGTTTCAGCAGGAATTTATTATTTTTAATAAAAATATCCCTGTAGTTAGTTATAACACCAAAAACATTTTCGTAAGCCCAGCTTACATGGATCAATACACAAACATGGCTAAAACTCTATGCTAACTTACTTTTGAACCTTCTGAAGCACTCTGGTCAGAGCTGTCATAATTACCCAATTACAATGATGCTTCGAATCACGTGGTTTCATCCGCACGTGCTACAAGCATGCGCCGTTGTTTTCACTGCTGCCAGAGTTCTTGCAGTCACTGATTTAGTCAAATTATTCTAGTGTTTTAGCTACAATATTGAGGTAATTAGTATTTGTGAGTCTATATCATAACTTTTCTCAGAATGAAGGAGTAATTAAAGGAAAAGGAGAAAAATCAAAAAAGGCTTCTGCTCCGTTACTAATAATGTTATAATTCAATGGAGAAAGATTTTACAAAACAATTTTGTTGTTAGTATTCATATAATCTAAGAAATATTACATTTAAGCAATTTACAACTATATTTATCACATATCATTCTATGATTGAAACTGATAATAAACATTACTAAGGAGTCTGTGTGGCCTGATATGGGAGGAGGTCCATGGGGGGGTGACATCACTAGTTACCGCACTGGGTGACACTACCTAGTGACACCACCTGTAGGGACCTCCTCCTCCCCTCTTTCCTACCTCCTTCCCTAGCCAGCCCCCCCTCCTCTGCTCCTTCAAAGCCCTGCCCTAACCACCTCCTCAAAGAAGCCCTCCCTGATAGCCAACATCCCTGCTCAGTCCCTCCATCTGCAACTTGTTCATTTGTATATCATTATGCCTTATGACTACCGTCGAGTCCTAAACTGACATGGTCTAGGTCTTCATCACAATAGAGGCTTCTCGTCAGCAAAGGCCCCACTTACACTGTCCCACTTGGGGACAGACGTTGGGCAGTGGTGCCCAGGAGCAGAGGAGCACTAAGGGAGGTTCGGTAGTGGGGAAAGGGGGCCAAACACCATTTGCCCACGGAGATTCTCAGATCCACAGCTTCCCAGAACTGCCATTCTGACAGCTACACATCCAGGTGAAGGAAACCTTGGAAATGGATCCTTGCCCACGAGCCCCCTCGAGGCGGTCCCCTTATCTCCTCCTGTTGGCCTAAGGAGCCCAGAATAATGCTAAACTAGAAGAGAAACTAAAGAAAATAAAAATGCATTACTTCAGGGGATATTCAAATGGCAGTAAACATAGAAAAAGGTGCTCAGCTGCAGTAGTCATCAGGGAAATCCAAACTAAAATCACAATCCCCAAGAAAGGCTAACATGAAAAAGGCAAGCCCCACCACTTGTTGGTGAAGCTGTGGAGCCGCTGAGACGCTTATACACTGTTAGTGGGAGTATGAATCGGTCAGACCACTTTGGAGAACTATTTGGAAGTACTCCTAAGCTGAACACATATATACTATTAAAAAACCAAACCTGTTGCTGTCGAATAGATTCTGACTCATAGTGACCCTATAGGACAGAACAGAACTGCCCATAGGGTTTCCAAGGCTGTAATCTTTACAGGAGCAGATTGCTATATCTTTCCCCCTCGGAGCCCTCGGTGAGTTTGAACCGCGGACCTTTGGATATGTGCATTTTTATCTATGTGTGTTACACTTTCATTGAAAGTTTACTTAATACACCAGTGTTCATCGCAGCACTATTCACAATAGTCAAAAGGTGGAAACCGCCCAAGTGTCCATGAACAAATGGATGGATAAACAAAATGTAGTCTATCCATACACTGGAATATTATTCAGCCACAAAGAGAAATAAAGTCCTGATCCATGCTACATCATGGATGAACCTTGAAAACATTTTGCTAAGTGAAATAAGGCAGACACAAAAGGACAAATATTATATGACCCCACTCACAGGAAATATCTACAGTAGGCAAATGCATAGAGACGAAAGTTCATTAGTGGTTACCAGGGGCTAGAGGAGGAGCCCTGGTGGCACAGTGGTTAAAGAGCTTGGCTGCCAACTAAACGGTTGGCGGTTCAAACCCACCAGCTGCTCCTTGGAAACCCTATGGGGCAGTTCTGCTCTGTCCTATAAGGTCGCTATGAGTTGGAATTGACTCGAAGGCAAGTGGGTTTGGTTTTTTGGTACCAGGGCCTGGAGGGAGGGAGAAATGGGAAGTTAATGTTTAAGAGGCATTGAGTTTCTGTTTGGGGAATGAAAACATTTAGAAATGGATGGTGGTGATGGTAGCACAACATGGTGAATGTAATTAATGTCACTGAATTGGACACTTAAAAAAGGGTTAAAATGACAAATTTTTTGTTATATCTATTCTACCACAATAAAGAAATAAAATAAGTTTATTTTAAAAAGTAAGTCACTTCAATCAATCCAGCCTCTGAATAATGCTAAATTAGAAGGGAGACTAAAGAAAATAAAAATGCATTGATTCAGGGGATAGTCAAATGACTGATAACATCTGAAAAGGTGCAAACTATCCAGCCTACAGAAACATCTATTGTCCCCCAAGAAAATCACTGGCCACATCTACACAGCCTCCATCTGTGATTCATGGCCACTTGTAGAAAGGTACTGGCACGTGGAAGCTCCAGGCCATGTGCTGGCCGTGTACTATATCCTCAGATGGGCACTGTTCTCCACTCCCGCCAGGAAGAAAGCGCCTCCTCTTTCCAGCACTTCCAAGCTGTTTCCAGCTTCAAGGCTTACCTTAAAATTGGACCTGCATATGGTAGCTGCCCGACTCATTCCTTCTCCTATTGAAAAGAGAAGTGACACTGATGAAGAGCCTTAATTCCAATAATCAAGGAGGAAAAAAAAAAGCCTTCTAATGTGAATTGCTCTGTGGCCTGAGCTTCCTATTGTTCAACATAATTCCACTTAGAGTCTAGGAAACATAGTACCGAGGAAAGTTGGCTACTTCAACTAAGCTCAAAAAATAGGAGAAATGAAAGGCTTCCAGAGATGACCTAGTCCAGGGATGGCTTACATACAAGCTACCATGTTCCCCTCCCATACTCACGGAAGACAACAGTAACTGATCAGGGCATGTGTTCCATCCGAATACAGATGGAACCTCAGAATCCTTCTTAACACAATGCTCCTGGCAGCCACTCATCAACTGGAGGTGATGTACAAATCGAAACCTATTTGTAATCTTTGAGTGAGGATAATCTGTCATTCCCGCAGGAGTTCTTTGGACAGTTTGGGCCATCTGTCCCCTGACAAACTCCTCCCTTCAATGATGGGCAGTGTGCTACTTCATAATGTAGTTAACAATATTTATTAAACACCTCATGCCAGGTGTCAGGTATGTAGTAGGTACCATTCCTAAACAGTACTCATAATTAGAAAGGTCTTCCACTGTCAAAATCTGCCTTCCTCCCTTGGGGAACATCTAGCTCAGCTGGCATAACACAGTTTATAAAGACAATGTTCTACATTCTACCTTGGTGAGTAGTGTCTGGGGTCTTAAAAACCTGTGAGCAGCCATCTAAGATACTCCACTGGTCTCATCCCTTCGGGAGCAAGGGAGAATGAAGAGAACAGGATACAAGGAAAAGATTAGTCTGAAGGACTAATGGTCCACAGCTACCAAGGCCTCCACCAGACTGAGTCCAGTACAGCTAGATGGTGCCTGGCTACCACCACTGACTGCTCTGAACGGGATTACAACAGAGGGTTCTAGACAGAGCTGGAGAAGGATGTAGGACATAATTCTAACTCACAAAAAAAGACCAGATTTACTGGCCTAAAGGAGACTGGAGAAACCCCGAAAGTATGGCCCCCAGACACCCTTTTAGCTCAGTGGTGAAGTTATCTCCGAGGTTCACTGTTCAGCCTGGGAGTGGACAGCCCCGTAAAAACAAATGGGACTAATGAGGTACAGCAGTCCAGTGACAAGGGCCAGAAGGCAGAAGGGGACAAGGAAGCTGGTGATAGGGAACCCAAGGTTGAGTAAGGATATTGTTGATGTGATGTGAGATTGTTAACCACTGTCATAGGGCAACACTTGTAGTAACTGTTAAATGAGAAACTATTTTGTTCTGTAAGCCTTCATCTTAAGTGAGAACAGCAGCACAATTGGAAAAGCGTAGTCAATGTCACTGAACTGTGCATGTAGAAATTTTTGAAATGGTGTATCTTTGGCTATGTGTATTTTCACCAAAAAAAAAAAGGTTGAGAAGTTAGCGGGTTGACATGTTGTAGGGTTGTTAACCAATGTCATAAAACAATATGTGTACTACTGTTTCATGAGAAACTATTTGTTCTGTAAGCCTTCACCTGAAGTACAATAAAAAAAGAAAGAAAAAATCTGCCTTCCTCCCTGGCCAATAGCCAGCTAAGTGACTCTGGATGAACCCCTTTCCCTCGCTGTGCCTCAGTTTCCTGATCTGTAACATGAGAGAGTGGGACCAGCACAGTTTCCCAGAGGGCACTGTGGCAGCTTGGAGACAGCCGTCTAACAGCCCTTTCTTTTCTCCATGGAGTGTCTGCTGTGCAGGAGACGGCTTGTGCCTGTGAAGGGCCACAGCCCGGAACAGGCAGCAAGAAAAGACACAGCAGAGCCTGGTGTGTGTAGACAGGACAAGAGGAGCAGAGAGATCTAGGTGTTTACTAACAAAAGGTGGGCACAAGCAAGGGGGTGTGTAGGGGCAAGCCCGGTGGAGGAAGAAGACAGACTTGGCAGAGTGTGGTCCGGGGGCTCTGTGTGCCGCTGCCAGGCAAGCCCACCCTCAGGCCCCTCCCCACGGCTCCCTGGACTGGAAGGCTCTGTCTAGGTGCAGGCTCTATCGGGCCACTACATGACTGAACCTGCTCAGCCTTCACAACTAACGCATGAGGCCAAAGCCATCATGATCCCGTTTTAACAGATGACCAACAGGGCATAGGCAGGTTTGGTGACCTGCCCAAAGTCCCGCATCTGGGAAGGAAGCGGCAGAGCCGGGATTCAAACCAAGCCCTGGACTGTTCACGGAGTGGGGCTGAGCAGCTCAGGGGACATGGTCCCGTCTGCGAGGGGCCAGGTTGCCAGCTCCATGTGGCCCCAGAAGGCAGAGCCAGGACTCAAGAACAAGCTTCCGAACAGGCACTTGATACAATGTTCCCCCTGGGGGTGACGGGTCACTGTGAGCAGAGGCCAGATAGCGGATGCAAGCGGAGGACCTGGGCTCGACTCGATGCTGCCTGGCCCTGGTATTTGAGAGTGCAGTGATATGGGGTAAGTGACCTGTGGGCCCATGTGGCTGCCCTGGAACACAAGGGTGCTCCTTCACCTCCTCTTTCCTTTACAAGAGCCACACACATCCTCAGGGGTGTAGCAGGCACTCCCCCTTTGCTGGAGCTCAGGACCATCTGGTCGATGGCTCTTGGCACACACACCCCAAGTCCCTGGGCACACCCTCCAGCCCCATGACAGTACCTTTCAGGGCGACGGAGAGATTGATGTCAAATGTGTAGGGCTGGTCATGGCAGAGATACGGCAGGGGCCTGGGGTCCTGGAAGGGCAGAGCACAACACAGAGGGTCACTGGTGGGCAGGGCCAGTTGGGCCTTCAGCAGTGGGGCTCACCAGGCACGTGGACCCTGAATGGCAGTGGGCAGGGGTGGTATATGTGCCAGGCTCCCAGAAAAGCAGCTGAGGGAGAGGCATCAGCAGGTCAAAGATTACAGGGCCCAAATCAGAGATGCCCCAGAAAGCCAGGGGAGGGGAGAGCCAGGGCAGGGGAGTGGTGGTGGGGGAACAAGGCAAGGCCTTTGTAGGCAGGTCCCCCTAGAAGGTGGAGAGCAGAGGCGGCAAGCAGAGGCAAACCTGCCTCTGGTGCTGGAGCCAAGCTGGGCTGGAAAGCCCACATTTCTGCCAAAAGCAGTGTTTTTCCACAGGGTGGTCCATGAACCACCAGGGGCACGTGGGATCACTCCTAGTGATTGTATTTTAACAGTTTTTTTTTTGTGTTTCTTTTTATGATCACTTTAATATTGTGGCTATTGATGCTGGGAGGGATATAAGGTTCCTTTTTAAAATATATTATTTAAGTTTTCTAATGAGAGCTGTGTTAAAGAGAAACATTAAATAAATAATAGTCCAGAAGTGGCAATAATGGTGAAGGTAGGATATAGTGACCAGCATTGGGAAGGGCTAGTATAAAGGCAGATGGGCCCCAAAATCTCTGGCAAGGGTAACGTGATGCCCTATGAAGACAGACCTGAAGGAAGGGGTGAGGACGGGAGGGGCCAAGGTAGGCAGGGGGTGGCTGTGGGGCCCAGGTGATCCGTGGTGAGGGCCAGATGGCTACTGAAGTAGCCGTGAGCACAGGGCTCACCAACAGGGAGAAAGAGAAAGTCTTGGAGGAGCCATCAAGAAGGGACCAAGGGGACCAGAATGGCAGCCCCACAGGAATCTCATGAGGAGCTTGTTTTCAGCACAGCAAACACGAGAGACACCAGGCCCAGAGATGCAGAGGCGCGCAGGTGGGCAGGCTGGGCGTGGGTGAGATGGAGGTGAGGGTCAGTGGGGGGATGGAAGGAGCAGGGCAGACGTGGGTCGAGGGAGCAACTTAGAAACGGGGTTGCAGGGTGACTTCCAAGGGCTCTGGGAGACTTGGGAGAACTGGGACAAGTCACGTGCCAGAAGCCACGGAGGGAAAGTGCCTAGAGGGAGTGAGGGGCTGCAAGGAGGTCCATGCTAAAGGGGGGCACAGGCCACGGCACTGGCAATAAGGAGATCCCAGGTGACTGTGACTGCTGGTGAGGGGGTAGGCACTGCAGCCAGATGGTACCAGGCTGGGAGTGAAGAGTGAAATGGTGAGATGTGGCGGGGACAGTGAGGCTGGCAACAGGAGGCTGCAGAGACCTGGACCCCCTTGTTGCTGGGCTCCAAACCACATTCTATGAGTTGGGCTCCAGGGGGCGCCATTCACACAGAAACACAATTTGATGGTGACCAGGAAGTCATGCAATGTGGTGATACTATCAGAGAGCCCTTCTCCTGCCAATTCACCAGATTCCCTGGCTTTGGAGGATTCCGAAGGTTACAAAAGTCTGTGTTTTCTCCAATGACTGCAGGGAGCAGGGAGAGCGCATGGATGCCTGGAGGTCATGGCAACCAGGCTGCCAGGGCACTTGGTGGTGGCCATGCCATGGGCACAGAGCTTCCCTCCAGAAGGTCTGCATTCCTGATGTGTCTGTGCAGCAGGCAAGCAGCCCCAGCGCGGTGGGGCCTGGGTTTGGGGGTATCCTGCACAAGGTGTGCTTACCTGCACCGGGTTGGGCACAGCAAAGGGCATGAGAGCGTCCATGGGCACCACCCACGGAGAGATGGTGGTTCCAAAACTCTTCCCGAGGAACGGCCCAAGAGGGACATACTCCCACTTCTGAATGTCTCGAGCTGCAGCAGAAGGGCAGGTTCCAGGCTCACAAAGGCTGACGGGCCTCGCCCCATGGCTCCCTCTTTCCCTCGACCCAGGAGCAGACCCAGCAGAGCCCTCTACACAGAGGCTGCCCTTAAACTGTGTGCAACATTGATGCCAAGGGCAGCAGTCCTTTGAGGTCACTGTGCCAGGTCACAGCAAAGACAAGGATGACCCAGGGCTGTCAGGATATCCCCCATGAAGGGGCTAGAAGCTCATCCTCAAACCAGAGGACAGAAACTTCCTGGAATTCACTGAGCTATCTCCCGCTACAGCACAGCATAGGGGCTGAGAGCACAGGCTCAGAAGCTAGGCTGCTGCGTTTCAAATCTTAACTCAGCAACTAAAATATCTGTGTGCTTCAGTTCCTCATCTGTAAAATGGGAATAAAAATATTACCAATATCCCATAGGGATTCAATAGGATAGTCCATGCAAGGTGCTTAGCACAGGGCCTGTTATATAACCAAAAAAAACCCATTGCTGTCGAGTCGATTCCAATCATAGAGGCCCTACAGGACAGAGTAGAACTATGCTATAGGGTTTCTAAGGCTGTAATCTTTATGCAAGCAGACTGCCACATCTTTCTCCCACAGCAGCTGGTGAGTTCGAACCACCAACTTTTTGGTTAGCAGCCAAGCGCTTAACCACTGCACCACCAGGGCTCCTTGGTATATAATAAATGCTCAGTAACATTAGCTATGGTGTCAGCTGTGTCCCTATTGTACTTATAAGAAAACTGGAGCTCAGAGAGGTTAAGTAACTGGCCCACAACGTCAGAGCCAGGATTTCTGTTCTACATCCAAGGCCACACTCTCAGCCACTGTACTGCCTGCCACCATCGACCAGCACCAGACAGAGGAAACCATTCATGGCTTCTGGAAAGTGGTGTCCCAAATACCCAGGCTCGACCTGGTCCCCAGCCAGACAGGAAACTCAGCCTCAGGATGCCCAGCACCCGTCATTACCACTCCAGTCGTTCATGAGGACCATTCCAAAAATGTGCTCATGGGCCTTGGAAACGGGAATCGGCTCTCCGAGTTTGTTCCCAGGGCCTACAAAGAAAGCCTGCCATGGGCGAAAGTGATTAGCATCTGGCTGGCCTGTTGCCCCCGGCCACCTGTCACCTGGAGGGCAAAAGTCTGGCACTTACAAACCACAGCCAGGGAAGACTACCAACCCATGAACTGCATGTGAGCAGTCACAAGGCCACCCGGGGAAGCAGCCTGCAGTGCCTACCTGAGGCCCCTCCTCCCACGCCCCTGAGTTCCACAGGCAGCTTCCCAGACCTTTCTGTTCTTTCCCCCTTCACCCCATATGCACTTTGCATTTTAAGATTTGACAGCTCCATGAGGTTCTGAAAAATGAAAATGCCCAGGTTTGTCTTCATGTCATAAACCATCAAAAGGCAGCCTCCTGAATGCAGCAGACAGCCTGATAGGGGCACACCCCACACCTCCTGACTCCTGACCTCACACCCAACCCCTTGCCCATCTCCTCTAAAGAAAAATAGCGTCAGCACAACGCCCATTAACCCACAGACATCACTGGGGCAGAAACTGAGAAAGGTACAGAGCTGTCAGAAGCACACAGGCCCAGCGATGATATTTGCAAAACCTGAGTCAGTTTTATTTGCTCTGTGTCAGCGTTTAAACATTGCACATTTGTCATCAAGATAAAAACAAAAACACCCAAGGGCACCATCGTAGGACAAATCCTACCACCATCAAGTCCAGATACTCTGTGCTCCCTGCCCCCAATTGTTCTTCACACTCTGACTTCCCGCCTTGTCTCCACCCATACCCCCTCCCACCCCTGGACCCCAATAGGGACCAACACAGGAGAAGTATCTGCCTGCAGAGTCCTTGCTTTCTCCGGGCCCTGCTCTGAGCGCCTCCGCCTGAGATTTCTCTCCAGTTATCCTGTGGTACCTGTGCTAAGGTGTCAGGGGCCAGAGGCTGGCTGGGAAGGCCCTGCTACCATCCTGGGGCCTACTAGGCAGTGTCCACTCACTTCTCTCCTCTCTCAACTCTGGAAAGATCCCAAAGATACCCCAGGGCAGGTCTGGAGGGATGGAACTCCAGCAAAGCAGACCAGGTCTCCAGCCAGTCCCCACCTAACCCTGGATTCCCACTGCCACAGTCCTACTTACTGGGTGGGCCCACAGCCACTTTTCCTACACCAGCAGTGAGTAGACACAGCTTCCTGAGGCAGCACCTAAAACTAGGGGTGCTGACTATGAGATAGGAAAGCCCTCTGCCCCCCATCTGTACTTCCCCCGGGGCCTGGCTCCCCATCAGTCATCTGACAGCCTGGCAGCACCCTGAGACACTGCCCACGTTCCCCGAGTCCTCTCTCCTCCAGGTCAGCTCCTCCTTGCCATCACTCTCCTGGTCCCCCCACCTCGGGGGCCGCCTAAATTTCAGTGTCCTTCTTTAAAATGTGCAGCCCTGCAGCATAGGGGTCCTTGAGGTCATGGAACTCTTCTGATGGAACTGACCAGATCCATGTCTATCTGGTGGTGATACTGTACTGTGGTTATGCTGGATGTTACCATTGGAGGAGACTGTGTGAAGGGCATTTGGGATCTCTCTTTATTATTTCTTACAACTGCGTGTGAGTCTACAATTATCTCAAAATTTAAAAAAGGGCAGCCCTGGAATGACCACAGTTCTGAGGCTGTGTGTGCCCAAACACAAGTGCAGCAGGGCCTAATACTCCCGATGGCCAGGTGGGGACACCCAGAGCCACCATTAATTTGCTGAGGATGGGGGAAGGGTTCGTTGTTCAGGGCAGCCATCCCAGGGAGCTCTACTGCCACTACTTTTATAGTGACCACACGTCAATAAAACACCGAGGCACAGCTTACCATTTCCAACTCCATGTCCAAGAGCTTGCAGGTACTATAGATGGGAGGCTTAGCTGGAATAACACCAGAAAAAGAGGCTGTTAAGAGTGCCAGGCTGCGGAGTTCACTGTGTGGACACAGAGAGCTGGGCACCCGGCGGCACTGGGATCTTGGGGCACTTACAGTCATCAGGGCTTATCTGTCCCATGGGCCTTCGGATCGGGGTGCCGGACACCACGACAGAGGAGGCACGGCCGTGGTAGCCTACTGGTAAGTGCAACCTGATAAAGGAAGACAAAAGAAGGCAGGGCATCAACGCTACTACAGGTTGCAAACCGTACCCAAACCCGTTGCAGTTGAGTCAGTTCCGACTCATAGCGACCCTACAGGACAGAGTAGAACAGTCTCATAGAGTTTCCAAGGAGCTCCTGGTGGATTTGAACTGCCGACCTTTTGGTTAAGAGCCGTAGCTCTTACTCTGCCACCAGGGTTTCCACAGGTTGCAAAGTAAATTTAAAAAATTAAAAACAAAAGAGCCAATGCATAGACATGGTTCAAAAATCAAAAGGTACGTAAGGGTAAACAGTGGGAATAAAAGTACGATTTTCTTCCACCCTTGTCTCTAGCACCAATATGGTGCTGATGCAGATCCATGAAGAGCAGATAATAATCATGGTTATCATTTGCTCGGCAAGGTGCTTTTCACATTGTTTCTCATTCCATGTCATGTTTACAAAAGCCCTGCTCTGCATGTGTCATTAGCCATCATTGAGCAGCCCTGGCTCTGAGAGCTTCTGTGGCTTGACTGGGTCCCACAGCTGTGAAGTGGTGGAGCTGGGATTCAAATCCAGGTCGTCTGACCTCAAAGTTCTGTGGCTTCCACTGTAGCCTGCTCCCTACCTAATACAATGGGACCCTGGAAACAGATGGTAAAGCTGAAAGCAGAAGAGTCATCCCAGGGCAATGGGAACACTGTCAAGAGCTCTGTTTATCAGACAGAGATGTGGGAGAGGAGATGAAAGAGGAAAGCCCACACAGTTTGCATTTCTAAATGTCAAAACTCATTACAATGGTATTTAAAATAGCAGGGTGCTGACAAAGAGATCGACTGGACAATCTGAGGCACCCAGAAGGCTGGCTGGGAAGCCATATGAGAAAACTTGGCACTCAGTAAATAAAAAGTGGTGAATGTCGTTTAGACAATGAGATGTGTTAGACCCTGTAGTGGGTTCGGTAAAAACCAGTGGCTGTCGAGTCGATTCTGACTCATGGCGACCCCATGTGTGTCAGAGTAAAACTGTGCTCCCATAACATTTTCAATGGCTGATTTTTTGGAAGAAGATTGCCAGGGCTTTCTTCCAAGGGGCCTCTGGGTGGACTCAAACTTCCAACCTTTCAGTTAGCAGCCGAGTGCATTAACTGTTGGCACCACCCAGGAGTGGGTTCAATAGTGACCCAAAAAAAGATATGTCCACATCCTAACCCCCGGAAAATGTAAACATGACTTTATTTGAGAAAAAGCATCTTTGTAGATGTAATTAAGTTAAGGATCTCAAGATAAGAGCATCCTGGATTATCCGAGTGGGCCCAAAATCCAATGACAAGTGTCCTTACAAGAGACAGAAAAGAAAAAGACACGGAGAAGAGAAGGCCATGTAAGGATAGAGGCAGAGATTGAAGTTATGTGGCCATGAGCCAAGGAATGCCTGCAGCCATCAGTAGCTGGAAGAAGCAAGGAACAAACTGTCCCCTAGAGCCTTCAGAGAGAGGGTGGCCCTGCCAACACCTTGATTTCAAACTTGTGGCCTCAAGAACTGTGACAGAATAAATTTCCACTGTTGTAAGCTATCCAGTTTTAATTAGTTATGGCAGGCCCAGGAAACTAATACAGACCCATATCTCACATGAGACATAAAAGAAAATTCCAGATGGATTAAAGATCTAAATGTACAAAGCAAGGCTATAACAAGTACTATGAAAAAATACGGACACTATTTTCAAATTCTTACGGTGGAGAAAGCCTTTCTAAACATGACTCAAAAGTAAATGCCACAAAGAAAATGACTGAGCCCCCCAGACACCCTTTTAACCCAGTATTGAAGTCACACCTGAGGTTCACCCTTCAGCCAAAGATAAAGCAGTCTATAGGCCCAACAATAACACACGTGAAGGATGTGCTTCATAGTTCAATCATGTATACAAGACTAAAGGGCACACCAGCCCAAAAGCAAAGATGAGAAGGCAGGAAGGGACAGGAAAACAGGATGAGTGGAAACAGTGAACCCAGAGGGGAGAAGAGAAGAGAAGAGTGTGGACATATCGCAGGGTTGGCAACCAATGTCAGAAAACAATTTGTGTATTAACTGTTTAATGAGAAACTAATTTCCTCTGTAAATTTTCACCTAAATCACAATAATAATAAAAAAAAAAAAAAAAAAAAAAGACCAGACTTACTGGTCTGACAGATACTGGAGGAACCTCCAAGACTATGGCCCGTGGACACCCTGCTAACTCAGAACTGACACCACTCCAGAGGCCTACTTTTCAACCAAAGATTAGACTGGCCTATAAAACAAACAATAACACATTTATTGAGTGCCAAGTTTTCTCATATGGCTTCCCAGCCAGCCTTCTGGGTGCCTCAGATTGTCCAGTCGATCTTCTTGTCAGCACCCTGCTATTTTAAATACCATTATAATTGAGTTTTGACATTTGGAAATGCAAACTGTGTGGGCTTTCCTCTTTCATCTCCTCTCCCACATCTCTGTCTGATACCGAGTTCATCAAATATACGAGACCAAATGGGCAGCTCCTGTCCAAACACAGGACGAGAAGGCAGGAAGGGACAGGAACTGATTGAATGGACACAGGGAATTTGGGGTGGAAAGTGGGAGCGTGCTGTCACAGAGTGGGGATTGCAACCAATGTCACAAAACAACATGTGTATAAATTTCTGAATGAGAAACTAACTTGAGCCCTAAACTTTCACCTGAAGCACAATAAAATTTTAAAAAAATAGCAAAGCATGAATTGTACTGTCTGTAAATTATACTTCAATAAACATAATTTTTTAAAGAGAAAAAAAGAAAATGATTGACATGCTTGGCTGTATAAAAATTTAAAACTCTTGCATCAAGAAAGACAGCAAACAAAGTAAAAAGACACGTAACACCCTGGGAGAAAATATTTGTAACACATTCCAGCAAAGAGTTAATTTCTATGATACAAAAACATTCCTTCAGATGTAGAACATAATTCTAACTCACAAAAAAAAGACCAGATTTACTGGCCTAAAGGGGACTGGAGAAACCTCGAGAGTATGGCCCCCAGACACCCTTTTAGCTCAGTGGTGAAGTTACCTCTGAGGTTCACCGTTCAGCCTGGGAGCGGACAGCCCCGTAAAACCAAATGGGACTAATGAGGTACAATAGTCCAGTGACAAGGGCCAGAAGGCAGAAGGGGACAAGGAAGCTGGTGATAGGGAATCCAAAGTTGAATGAGGATACTGTTGACGTGTTGTGAGATTGTTAACCATTGTCATAGGGCAACATGTGTAGTAATTGTCAAATGAGAAACTATTTTGTTCTGTAAGCCTTCATCTTAAGTGAGGACAGCAGCACAACTGGAAGAGCGTAGTTAATGCCACTGAACTGTGTATGTAGAAGTTTTTGAAATGGTGTATCTTTGGCTATGTGTATTTTCACTAAAAAAAAAAAAAGAGGTTGAGAAGTTAGAGGGTTGATATGTTGTGGGGTTGTTCACCAATGTCATAAAACAATACGTGTACTACTGTTTCATGAGAAACTATTTGTTCTGTAAGCCTTCAGCTGAAGTACAACAAAAAAAATTAAAATTAAAATTAAAAAAAAAACAACATTCCTTCAGAACACAACAGACAGTCCCGGACGGAGCAGGAGAAAAGTGTGGAGCAGAACTCAAATTCACGTGAAAAGACCAGACATAATAATGGTTTGACAGAGATGGGAGGAACCCCCAAAACTATGGCCCCCAGGTGCTCTGTTAACCCAGAACTGAAACCATTCCCGGAACCCACTCCTCAAAGATTAGACAGGACTATAAAACAAAAAATAATGCAAGTGAGGAGTGTGCTTCTTAGTTCAATCAGCTACAAGAGACCAAATGGGCGGCTCCTGCCCGGAGGCAGGATGAGAAGGCAGGAAGGGACAGGAACTGGTTGAATGGACACAGGGAACCCGGGGTGGAAAGAGGGAGTGTGCTGTCACATTGTTGGGATTGTAACTAATGTCACAAAACAGTATGTGTATACATTTTTGTATGAGAAATTAACTTGAGCTGTGTCACGGATTGAATTGTGTCCCCCAAAAAATATCTGTCAAATTGACTGAGCCATGATTCCCAGTATTGTGTGATTGTCCACCATTTTGTCATCTGATGTGATTTTCCTGTGTGTTGTAAATCCTGTCTCTATGATGTTAATGAGATGGGATTATTGGCAGTTATATAAACTCAATCTACAAGATTAATCTACAATTTAAGCCAATCTCTTTTAAGATATAAAAGAGAGAATAGAGCAGAGAGACAGCGAGACCTCATACCACCAAGAATGTAGTGCCGGGAACAGAGCACATCCCTTGGACCTGGGGTTCCTGCAAGGAGAAGCTGCTAGACCAGGGGAAGATTAATGACAATGACCTTCCTCCAGAGCTGACAGAGAAAGCCTTCCCCTGGAGCTGACACCCTGAATTTGGACTTCGAGCCTTCTAGACTGTGAGAGAATAAACTTGTTTGTTGAAGCCATCCACTTGTGATATTTCTGTTACAGCAGCACTAGATAACTAAGACAGCTGTAAACTTTCACCTAAAACACAATAAAAATAAATACATAAAACACTCCTTCAAATTAATAAGAGATAAACGACCAAATAGAAAAACTGGCTGAAGGCATGCAAGAATATCTCTGAAAGAATATATAAGAAAGTGATAGCAGTATTGCCTCTGGAGAAAGGAAATGGATGGTGGGAAAGTCTTACTTTTTTCCACTATTTACCCTTAAGAACCTTTTGGATTTGGAACCATGTATATGTACTTACTCTTTTTTGCTGCTTTTAATTTCTTAAATGTTTGAAAATTTTTGCTGCTTTCAATTTCTTAAGTATTTGATATACAAAAAGATATCATAACAAATAATTACGTACTACCAATGAGCCTAAGAAATACGATGTTACAAATCCAGTTAAACGCCCTCTTTGTGTCCCTCCTTGATCTTTCCCTCTCCTTCCCTCCCTTTCTGCCCTCTCCCTGAAGAGGGGACCACCACCGAAATTTGGTGTGCTTCATTCCCCTTATTTCTATACACTTTTACTGTTGTGTAATTTTTTTTTTTTTTTGCATCTTGTTATACGAATGGTATTCTACTGTGTATTTTTCTTGCATTGTTGTTGCTGCTGTTGTGTGCTGTCAAGTCAATTCTGACTCACAGTGATTCTATAGGACAGAGTAGAAAGTGCCCCATGGGGTTTTCAAGGCTATAATCTTTACGGGAGCAGATCGCCAGGTCTTTTCTCCTGGGTTCGAATCACTGACCTTTCAATTAGAGCTGAGCGCTTAACCACTGCACCACCAGGGCTCCCTTTTCTTGCAATAGTGATTAAAAAAATTATTTTGCAAAAGACTGAGATAAATTTAAGGTTACTTAAAAGGAGAGATGTCAATGATATTGACTCAACAGCAGCTGGTATACACACATACACAGATATATATATAGATACACATACATACACATATATGTGTATCTATATATGTATGTATGTGTATATCTATATATGTTGACTTTTTCTTTGTTTTTTTTACACAAATGAGAGCACACTTTACATAACACATACCCTGCAGTTTGCTTATCTCACTTAACAATATATCATGCACATCCCTCTTAATCTAACTTATTCTATCAATAGCTACAAAGCATTGACTACTGTGACTATACCACAATTTATTCAGCTATCCCTTCACCAATGAGTCTTCAAACAGCTTCCAGCTTTGGGCAGCTAGAAACACTGCCAAGTGACCATCCTCGCCCTTGAATACTGACACGTGGTGCTTTCATTTCTGTAGGACCGACGCAGGAAAGTGAGACAGAGAGCCAGAGGGTATGCTCATTTTATATTTTAAATGTTTTACTTTCTGTAGTGTTTGGATTAATTACAAAAAGTATGTATTATCTGTATTACACAAGATATGTACATAAAGTAATAAAGGCACAACACCGCCACCTTGCATTAAACGTCACTAGAGAGGGCCTGTTTGTGCTCATTCTGCTGAAGAAAATGGGGTGGGGATGGCTAAGGCTCTCACACCTGGTGTCAAACAGTTAACCCATTTCCTGGCCTTTCTCCTCACTTCCTGGGGGCCGCTTGATACTGATGCCCAGGGGATCAGTATCCTAAATGTCTATGCAGTCTCATTAAGTCAGCACCACCAGGACCACCAGACAGACAGGCTGTGGCTGGCTGGGAATGAGCTCAGCCTGCAGCCTGCACAGAGGCCAAGTCCCACCTCAGGCGGGAGCCTGCAGACTGGGCTGTATCCGTGATCCACCCCATCTGGTTCTGCAACCTTGGCCTGCTGCTTAACTTCTCTGGGTGGTAACCTGTTCTGTCTCTCTCTCCCCTTTTCCTTCTTCATGTTTGTTCCCACAGATACCCACCCCCCAGCACAGCCCATCTGAAACACTGCTCTTCTCTCAGAAAAGCCTTTGTCCCACCCCAGCTCCTGTGTGTGGCTGGCAGCACCCGGTCCTGGGGGTTTCCCTGCCACAGGGTCCAGGACCTGAGTTCTGAGCAACTGCCCCATCCGGAAGGCAGCATTGAACAAAGGAGAAAGGGTCACAGCTCTGGGTTCCGGCTTGGGCAATGGTCTTGACCTGGGAGTTAGGAGCCGGTCTCTGGCCATGTTTGTCCTCAGACAAGTCAATCTTCTCTGAGCCTATTTTCCCTCCTGTAAAGTGGGGTAACAATCATGGCCTTGCGACCTCCCAGAACTACTGAGAGTTAAACCAATGAATGTAGCTGACCACATTTTGAGAAATATGCAGCACTGGACTCACATGAGCATTCTCATTCACCAGAGATTTCTAAGCAAAGAGAATGCTGAGATTTAACACTTGCTGATAAAACAATAATACGCGGCTTACAAATGGAAGAATCCGAGAAGGATCTTAGTGACTCAGAGGGATTCATTTCCAACCTCTGTTCTCTAGATGAAGTAGCTGCAGCTCAGAGAGGTTAAGGGACTAGCCCACGATCCCACAGCAGGCCCAGGGCTGGGCTGAGACCAGAAGCTGAAGCCAGCTCCCACTTCATTTCCAGCAGTTCCAACAGTATGGCCATTACAGTAAGTCCCTGAGTTAAGAACGTCTGACTTGCAGACAACTCGTACTTAACAATGGACTGTCATAAAGTCTATTGTATTAAAATTTTGAGTTAAATACAATGGTTTGTAATAACAGCTGCACCCACTGATTCATGATGCTCATGAAAATATTGGAAGTATTTAAGTGTTCATATGCATAGAAAGGTAATATATATACTATACACTAAGACAAACATTTGAATAACTGACGCTAAATAATTTAGAATCATATGTACCTGTTCTGACTTACCTACGAATCAACTTAAAAGGCAGACTTAGGAACAGATCACGTTTGTAAGCCTTACTGCTTTTCCTCCCCCGTTTGCTTTAGCCCAAGAGGGGCTTCACAGCCCCTGGGGACAACATGCTGCTGGAAATGGAAAGGCAGACTTTGAACATATCCAAGCTTCTGATCGATACAAACCAGTTTGGCATCAAGGCATTCTCCTTGCCCCTGAACATGATGCCAATGTTTGTAGCATGCTGCCGAGAGGAATAGAAGTCCGTGTAGTCTCCTGCAAAGAGAGACATGAGAGAGCCCATCAGTGACTCTGATGCTCAGGAAGGAGCACGGAACACTTCCAAGGACCAGGGCAGGAGATATGAGCAGGGGGAAGCAAGTGCACAAGCTCCCGGGGCTTCATGTTCAGGGCACTGGGCGCTCCGGCGGCACCGCGGGCAGGGCCATGGGTGTGCACACGACAGTTCTAAAGTTGCCCTGCGACAACTCTTCCTGCAGTGACAGCACCAAATGCAACACAAAATAACTTCACTGAAGATTCATTTGCAAAGCTCCAAGTGAGAAACCAAGAATAAGGAGCCAACACTTTGTGAAACTTGCAGTGGAGTTTGAACATAAAACGGCGGACTCTGCTCCTGTCATGGGCTTCCGGCTTCTCCACTGCTGCCTGCTTGTTATTCCTCGGGTCCCACAGGCCTTCCTCACCAGGCCTTTGACTACGCTGTGCCGGCCACCCGGACTAAGGTCTCCCTTGTCTCTGTGTGTCCACAGCCTCTCACTTCTTTGAGGACTTCTTCTCCGTGAAACCATCCTCACCCTCACTCACTGGATCTCCCGCCTATGAACCCTTCAGCTGAACCTGTTACGGGTTGAATTGTGTCCCTTCCAAAATATGTAGTGACATCCTAACTCCTATACCTTTGGGGGAGCCCTGGTGGCGCAGTGGTTAAGAGTTCGGCTGCCAACCTAAAGGTCAGCAGTTCAAATCCACCAGCTGCTCCTTGGAAACCCTATGGGGCAGATCTACTATAGTATGGAATCGCTGAGTCAAAATTGACTGGAAGGCAATGGGTTTGTATACCTTTGGAAATAGGGTTTTCTTCGTTCTGTTATTGAGGCCATATCAGCATAGGGTGTGTCCTAAACCTAATCACTTCTAAACAGAGACAAGAAAGCACAAATGGGGTTAAGACGGATGCCCTATGAAGATCTCCAAGGAACCAAGGAATGCTGGGAGACAAGGGTCTTCTCCCTGAGCCTTTCCCTACAGCCAGTGCCCTGAATTTGGAGCCTCCTGAACTGTGAGACAATAAATTTCTGTTCTTTAAAGCCACCCACCTGCAAACTAAGACAACATCCTTCTTGGGGAACGCTTCACTGCGCGCTGGCGGTGAGGGTATGTGTGTGTATAACTTGCTTTCTTTGCTACTCTGTGGCCTAGCCTAGGCCTCATTCTGTTTGATTCTCCCTGAATGCCAGAAACAAGGTCTTATACTTCGCCGGTGCCCAATAAGTGCCTGTTGATTATGATGCATGTGGGTGGTTTGCAAGCTGTAGGCACCTGTCTCCCAAATAAAAAAAAAAACAAACTAGTTGCCGTGGAGTCAACTCTAACTCATGATGACTCCGTGTGTGTCAGAGTTGAAGTGTGTTTCATAGGGTTTTCAATGGCTGAGTTTTTGGAAGTAGATCTCCAGATCTTTCTTCCAAGATGCCTGTGGGTAGATTCAAGCCTCCAACCTTGCAGTTAGCAGCTGAGTGTCTTAACTGTTTGCATCACCCAGGGACTCCCACCTGTCTCCCATGCAGGAGTAAATCCTTCATCTGCTGGAAGAGGCCTGTTTAGAGTTAACAAACAATTTCTCTTTCTCGGCTTATCCTCTCAGTTGCTGGCAACTTAATACTAGAATACACAGGAAAAACCAGTTGAGACAGTTTGCCTAGTGTCCTTCCCAAATCGCCACTCAAAAAAAAAAAAATGCTGGTTAAGCCAGTAACAACAGCCTAGACCAGAAACGAACATGGTGAAGGATGAGGAGAGAAAGGAAAGTCTACGGGGCCAACTGGTGGACAAAGCCCTAGTTTCTGCTTCCCGACTTCAGTCCAAAAGCATAGAAATAACAGCTGAGATATTTTTCAAAAGAATAAATGCATAACAAGAAAACAAAGACAAGTAGCATCAGCCAATCAGAAACTGTGAGGAATCCCTGAGAGATGACTGGTTTGCCAAAAACTACCTTGCCAAAAAATGCCATAGCCCCAAAGAAGCGCATGAGAGGAGTGCTGGGAGAAGAGACTGGGTGAGTGGGCACAACCGAGTCAGCCCCTGTCCCTGCCCCCACCCTTTACCCAGCTTTTTCCAAACAGCAGGCAGCAGAGGCCTGTACCTAAGCTGAAGAGCTGGGCCACAGAGGCAGCGAAATGCCTCCGGAGGTTGGCAGTCCTCAGGAGAAACAGGGAGCAAGCCCACAGCTGGAAAGCAAAATACCAGAGCTCCGCACCAGGAAGCAAGTCCTGCCCCTCTCCCTGGGAGCTGGCTACAGGAAAAGCCGCATCCACAGACAGATAACAGGGTATTTTGTACACAAATAAGATGAGTACAGGAGCCAGAGTCAACCAAGCATCCAGGAAAATCCTCACCATGAAAGAGGTGCCAATCCAACCAAAGAAAGAACTGACACCCAAGGAGACAAAATTAATAGAGAAGCTAGAAGAAGACTTACAAGAATGCTTTAATCGCCTTTAGTAAGATAGCAATAAGAAAGGACATTGCATGCATAAATCAAAAACAGGTTGTTTTGTGAAAAAATAACTTCAGATCTGGAAAATGGAAAACAATTAGAATGTGCCCATCTCTGACTCAGGGACGGTCATCCTGGGATCTTGTCTGCCCTCCTCCCCTACCTGGACAAGACCTCCTCTTTTCCTGCCATTTGATGCTGGATATAAGGTCCCCTCAGCCCCCTCTTAGGATGGAAAGCAGAAAATCATTTGCAGGTACCTACAGAACAGGTAGATAAATCTCATGTTCTAGCTCTTCTCTTAAAAACAGAAACATGGAAGTGACTAAGTCTTATCTCATAAAATCATGGGTCTGCGGGGCAGAAAAGACCTGGCTTAAAACCACGCCTTCAGGTAGATAATATATTATTTCCACTTAATAGAGGAACAAGTGAGGTCTACAGACATTAAACAACTTGCCCAAATCTATATTTGAATTCTGACTCTGCCATTTTCTGTCTGTATGTGATCTTGGACAACCCTTTTACTTCTCTGAGTCTCAGTTTCTCCATCTGCAAAATGGGAATAATAATACCAATCATAGGGATATTGTGAGAGTAAAGGAAATAATGTATCTAAAGTACTTATCATAGTGCCTGGCACATCGTAGGCCTTCCCTTACCCCTACTGGGCATCAGTGTTGTCCTGGCATGGCTATTTCAATTAAATTTCTCATTAGAGAGGCTCAAAGCAGAGCTAACGGTTGAATCTTTTTCAAATAAGAAAACACATGTAAGTGTGCCTTATAGACTGTAAGTGCAGTACAAGTATCTATCACTCCAGCACTTGCTTTAGAATAATACAGTGCTACATTCTGCAACGATATCAGCTACCCAGTAAGAGCCCAGGGTAGAGCCTACAAGGCATTTCAGAGCACCCCTGCCAGATTTAAATATGTAACAGCGTCTGCCTCCTCGTTTGTTTGTTTTCCTATATGTGTACAAGTCTATATTATTATCACTTACAAGGGGCTGGAAAACAGAGGAAAGGAAGAACTGAGAGAAAGGAAATAAAGGGAAAACTCCATCAGGGAACCAGTGGATGCTGAGCGGTAGAAGGTAAACAATTCTTATCATACTAGGGTTTTGACTTGAAGTCCCTGGGTAGCACAAAGAGTTTATGTTCAACTACTAGCCTAAAGGTTGGCGGTTTGAACCCACCCAGAGGTGCCATGGAAGAAAGGCCTGGTGATCTACTCCTGTAAGATTACAGCCAAGAAAACACTGTGGAGCTCAGTTGTACTCTGTAACACATGACGTTGCCATGAGTCGGAAGGGATTTGACAGCAGCGGGTTTAGTTTTGGTTATGTGCTTCTCAGCACAGAATTTCAACTATTTGTAATGTTTAAACCCTTAGAGAAGGTCAGCAAATACCGAATATATGTCTGCCTCTCTTTTGGAAGTGGACTATCTGCATGTAAGGCTTCCTTGGGCTGATCTAGGTACTGAGCCACGAAACAGCGGGCAGAGAGAGCCGGAAGGGCTGCCAGGGCCCAGGCTGCTGGCATGCTCATCTTAGCCAGAGTCTGTGGTCCCAAGGGGACTGGCAGGGTCTGCCAGCCTCTAGCATGCCTGGGCACAAACCCAACGGGCAAGGCCTCCTCATGGGGCTGGTGGACCAGCATGGAGGGTCGCAACTTCTGCCTCAGATGGATTCAATTTCTCTCTCAGCTTCAGGCGAAGGCAGTCTCAGCAACTCGAATTTCCTGAATGAAACTCCAGTTGGACACTGTGCCAAGTGCTGAAATTGGGCCTCTTCACCACCCTCTGGTCTCTTTCCTCAACACTGCTGACTCTTGGGTTGAGCTCAGAGCACTTGCCACATAGCCTCTTGGCAGGGCCAGATTAAGGCATGTGAGGGCCCTAAATATTGATAATCTGTGGTGCCCCCTCCTGTTTACTCAGGCATTCGAACAGGATATGTGTATATATATATATATATATATATATATATATATACACACACACGTATGTGTGTGTGTGTCTTAGCTATCCATGATGTAAACTTCTTTCAAAATGCGACTATAATGTTAGTGATTGAACGAAAAAGTAGCGTATGCCATTTTAGCGGAATGAGATGAATTGAATTATAAAATTTTTAGTGGATGCAGGGTACTGAGATTTTTCCTATATACCACATTTTCTACAAAAGGACTATTCCACATATTCTACAACAAAGAAAACAAGTCAGTGAACTTAGTTGTTTCAACAATCAATGTAAAATTCTGCTGATGTCCCACAATGAAAAAATGACTTTCAACCATTTTGCTTTAAACGGCTCATACTTCGGTTTTGATGCTTGTTTCATAATAAACGTTATAATTATAAATGAACAAATGAAAAGACGTCATAAAAGAAAATTCAATGATAGGAAAACAAATATTACAACAAATTACTATATTTTATTTTTAGATAGATCTTTCATCTCTAACATGTTATAATTAAAAACATTTCTTTTTATTCTTTGCTCTGACAAATTCTCCAATAATTTCATCACAATTAAGCTACCAAACAATATCTACTTCCATATATAATAAGGATACTGAATCAAGTCTTTCTTGCGTCATTGTACGCTGAGGGATTTTTAGTCTCTTTTGGGACAAAAATGAACATTCTGTCATGCAGTTTGTGATCATTAAAGTCAGGAATATGCATAAAGCAGTTTCAACATTGGCAAATATGCGTTGTATTTTATCTTCTGTTATGGAATCACACATGCCAACATGAATAAAATTTGTCTTTCCTGAATCTGTAAACTTAGTTCTCATGTAAGTATGAAATTCTTGTACTTCTCAGTAAAGGTTTTTATTTAAGTCATCGGGATAAGCCTACACTAATTTCTTGGATGCCTTCATGCATCGGGGATAGCCACATTATTTAAGAAGGAAAAGCTATTTAAAAGAACTTGATACACTTTTGCCCTTCTTTTCATGCAAGATTCAACCGTATCAATGATGGTGTAGTATGTGGTTACACGAAATAGATCTCTGGCACTGAACAGTTCTGGAGCACTTCCGTCATTTACTTGTTTCTTTCTAACGCTTCCTTGGCAGTGAACTGCTTGATAATCAGTATTTGGCTGTATTCATTTTGTTGTGTTTTCAAAATCTTAAATTATGTAAATACCCTGTTAATGACTAGTAGAGATCTGTATATGTCTTTAAATTTACTACTGACTCTTGGAGAGCTTGACTTGTCTGATGAAAATGCTGCAATATATTATTCCATATAACCAACATAAATATATACTCTAGTGTTTGCATTTTGTTGGCAATGTTTTCAGCTTCTCTTTTCTCAGTATCTTCTTTTTGTGTCTGGTCTTCAGCGATATTTTCTAAGGCATCGATAGTCTGAGTGTTATGATTCCAGGTACAGGGGTGGATTACCCAATAAGCAAGGTAACACGTGCTTAGGGTCACAAGGGGACTGGAGTTCCCACTGGTTGTTTACCCAGACATGCACAAGAGCATACCCTTGTGTTTGTATCATGGCAAAGAGCACTGCTGGCCCTCCTGGCCAGAGCTGCTGGATCAGCAGACATGGACGTACAAGATGGTTCTCTCAAAACGGATCAGAGACCTGTCAACTATATAATCTGTCCATGCCCAGTAATCGCTCATGTTGGATCCAGTTGCATATTGCATGAATGCAGCAAGAGTTAGACTCAACAGCCCACCCCTACCTCTTGTTTATTAGAAACAAATAGTATACTCCCCAGAGGCTGAGATAACGAGTTTCAATTACATGGGAGGACACCACAGGAGACAGATGTCAATGAAGGTGTTGAAGTGGTAGGGGCCTCATAGCTTCAACAACCTTGCATGTGGGTGCCCTCGTGACCCTGCATGAACTTTATTTCCAGCCAGCACGTTCTTACGCACTGGAACTGGAATCAGTTTTGTTAGTGCCCTGCCAGTTCCCTTCCACTGTGGTGTTTGCTTTTCCTTGCGTCCTGTCTACTTGTCATCTATGGGTCTTTGCTTTGGACAACTGGTTCCTGTTTTGGTAATGCCCTAAGCACGTACTTACGTTGATTATTGGGTAAACCATCCCCGCCTCTTGGGAAAAGAGGAAGATATGTTGTGCAAGGAGCTGTGCAGCAAACCACAAATTTGGGCAGTCTGCAAACTCCTTGGGAGAGAGCTCTGGTCTTTAGACACAGCCTGAGTTAATGGCGGAGGGGTAACAGCCCCAGAGCCCTTTTTCCGTGTCCTCCCACAACCAGAAAAAAGGGACCAAGGCATTTACTCTTGGCCCAATAAGCTGCCTCACTAATATGTCTCAGTATAGAGACTGTACTCACCTATGGTGGCTGGAAGGTGCATGGTGGCAGAAGCCTGGGAGATGAACGCACTGAAACATAGAACCAGGAACTTCAGGGCCTAGCAAGTGGTAAATCAAGGTCCCTGCTCTGATCACCCACCTGCAGGCTCAGTCTACACCACCCCCAGAATCCTGCTCCAAATCCTCCAATGGGCAGTTCCAGGCTAGACTGGGGCCAGAGCTCTGTCTACCCACTAAAGCCAAGACTGCCTCTTCTCTGGCTCTATGTTCCACCCCAGGAAACGGGCTAAACTTACTCCTACTCTAAAAACCAGTCAAGGACACAGATGATGCTGATGAGGAAAAGCAGAGCGAATAAGAGAGTGGGCCGGTAGGCCTGACCTGGTCTATGAGGCACAGAGGCAAGCCCAGATTGCCCACAGCCCTCTGCCAACCTGCAGCCCAGGCAGAGGCTGGATGCAGGTGGATCTGACTCAACAAGGCCAAGGCAGCCAACCTCTGACTCAGAATAGCACCAACTACCATACTGTTCCCATCAACCCTGCTGTGTTCCACCTGCCCACCAACATCCACGTGCCCTCACCTCTTCCGAAGCTCCATATCATCTCTGAGCCTGGCTTCGCTGGCAGACAGCAAGCTCTGTAACAATGCTCTCGCCTCCTTCCAGGCAGCCTGTCCCAGGCCCATGAAGCTGTTGAGGGTTGTCTAGGACCAAAACAGGGAGAAAGATCGGGAACAGAAAACCCCTGGGGGTACCCCACCTGCCGATGGGAGTACAGCTTGCCAGGGCCCCTGCTACCTATCTCCATTTCATGCCACCTCTTGGGACCTTAGTTCTTAGTTTTGTCATTGGTCATCCAGCAGAAGAAAGGTATTGCCTTTCTGTGACAGGGCTTCAGCCCATCGGACTTGCACACAGTTGTCAAAGCCCAGGAGCTGCCGCCTGTAATGGCTAAACTGGTTATTTTAGTTACCTAGTGCTGCCGTAACAAAAAATACCACAAGTGGGTGGCTTTAAAGAATACGAATTTATTCTCTCACAGTTCTGGAGGCTAGAAGTCCTAATCAGGGTCTCGGCCATGTTGATTCCCTCTGTGGGCCTCTCTCCTGGTTTCTGGTGGCTGCCAGCAATCTGTGGTAATCCTTGGTGTTCTCTGGCATCTGTCTTCCTTCTGTGTGTGTCTGTGTCTAAGCTGCTCCTTTCAAGACTCAGAAGTGATTAGCTTTATGACTCACGTTACACTGGCATGGCCTCATTAACATAACAAAAAACCCTATTTCCAAACAGGGTCACATCCACAGGTACTGATGATCAGATTTCAACACATATATATTTTTTTTCAACACATATTTTTGTGGGACACAATTCAATCCATGACACCTGTTAACCTTGGCCTGGCCTGAAGTTGAAGGGGCTAGACACTCCAGTCTTAATGGGGGTTCCCAGCCTAAACTGATCCCCTTCATATAAGTTACAAAGAGGTTTCTTGGGAAAAATAGGGAATTATTACTTAAGGGGTACTGAGTTTCTGTTTGGGGTGATAAAAAAATTTTAGGAATAGTGGTAATGGTTGTACAACATAGTGAATATAAAAAGTGTCACTGAACTGTACACTTAAAAATAGTTAAGACGGCAAATTTTATGTTATATATATTTTACCACAATACATTTTTTTTTTTTTTAAATGTGGTTTCTTAGTAAGGTACGACAGAAAAGCATTTGCGGATTCTTAAGGTTGGAGTTGCACCCCTGGCCCCAGTGCTTCTAGCCATGTGACGCGCAGTCCTCATGCATCTAACAAGCATTACAATTCGGATGCTAGAGGGTCATTGTGAGGATTGAATAAGAGATGCGTGTGAAGCTCCTGGCACAGGGCCTGACACATAGTAGGTGCCAATAAACGCTATTCTCCTCCTGACTCATGGAATAGGCAGATTAACATCAAAATATCTGACCCTTTGGAGTAGGACTGCTCCATGGGTTTTCCAGGAAGTAGCTGGTGGGTTCGAACTGCCAACCTTTCGGTTAGCAGCCTCTTAACGACTGAGCCACCAGGGCTCCATTAACCAACGTAGTGCAGAGCTTATCCATAGTAGGCTTACAATGCACACTTTTTTTATTGTGGTAGATACATATGTAACAAATTGTTTGCCATATCAACATTCTTCTCATGTACAATTCAGTGACATTATTTATGTGTATCATGTTGACAATGAACACTTTTGATAAAACACTTTTGAAAGCTTGATTGATTTTTTTACCTTAAATATATTTACTGTAAATTGAAATTTAGAATTTGTTTTCAGGAATAAAAATAAGTAGTATCATACTTCTGTAAGAAAGCAGACTCTTCTAATTTAGAAAGATAATGTGAGTAGAGTAATATTTCATTCTTCCAGAATGTGAAGAAATAAAATATTATATATAATTCAAATATATATACATATCTGACCCTTTGCAGGGAAGTCGATTCAAGTCCATCCCACATGGGTGTGCACTTCAGGCTGACTCTAAATGGTGGCAGCATAGAGGGCCCTTGGAGCCATCTGTCCACTCCTCCCAGCCTATTATCTGTGGACCTGGAGGACAGGGCTCATGGCTCCCTCCCTAAGAGGGCCCCACTCAGGCCTCGGACAGGCAGACGCTCAAACAGCTTAATGAGGACATTTACTAGGTTTGTTGAAGAGCCTCATCTCTGCAACTGGGAGTGCTCAGGTCTGCAAAATAGCCATTGATTCTAGAGCATTCCATTTGGTCTCAAGGCATCTAGGAACCTACTCCAAGGTGTCCCAAGGCCACTCCTGCCAGCCTGTCTCTCCCAGAAAAACCCCAGCCTTATCTACCTAAACTGCTCGTCTTAGTTATCTAGTGCGGCTAAAATAGAAATACCACAAATGGATGGCTTTAACAAAGAGAAGTTTATTTCCTCACGGTAAGGTAGGCTAAAAGTCCAAGTTCAGGGCATCACCTCCAGGGGAAAGTTTCTCTTTCTGTTGGCCTTCTCATCAATCTTCCCCAGGACTAGATTTTCCGCGCAAGTACCTCGAGTCCAAAGGACATGCTCTGCTCCCGGCGCTGCTTTCTTGGTGGTATGAGGTCCCCCTGTCCCTCTGCTGGCTTCTCTCTTTTATATCTCAAAAGAGATTGCCTCAAGACACAATCGAACCATGTAGATTGAGTCTTGACTCACTAGCACAACTGCCGCCCATCCCCCCTCATTAACATCATAGAGGAAGGATTTACAACATATAGGAAAATCACATCAGATGACAAAATGGTGGACAATCACACAATACTGGGACTCATGGCCCAGCCAAATTGATACACACATTTTGGGGGGGACATGATTCAATCCATGACACTGCTGAAACCGAATGCACTCTCTCTATCTGAAATGCCCTCCATCTCAAAGAGCATTTTCTGGAAAGCATTTGCAACAAGCGCCATTGAAATCAGGGACCAGCCATGAGACAGTGTCCTACCTGATCAAAGACATCCTGGTGTTTGGAGAGGACAGGCCCGGTGAAGAGATGTTTAATGACGCTGAGGTCCAGGATTTGGTCGCCAATCGCCACGCCAATCCTTGGTCTTGGCTGGGAGGCAGACAGCATGGTCAGCACCAGGAAAAGCCTTGGAGAGGGCTTGGCCCATTTGCATAGAAAGTTTCGCTATGTAAGAAGCCCTGCCCTCTTTGTAGAGCAAACTGAGGAATTCGATCTTTGGCATCTATTCCAGCTCCCTGGGCCTCAACTGGGCTGAAATTGCCCCTGTGTTCTCTTCCCAGACAGAATCTGGTGCCACCTCTGCTTCCAGGACAAAGAATCTGCATCTGCTGAATGAGAAGTCAAATACCTGAAGCACAACCCTCTGGAGTAGAGAAGGAGCAGGTGCCTAGTCCAAGCCTCTTATCCAAGGACCAGTAACACCAGTTGCCTCTGAGTCACTTCTAACTCATGGCGACCCCATGTGTGTCAGAATAGAACTGTGCTCCATAGGGTTTTCAATGGCTAATTTTTCAGAAGTAGATTGCCAGGCTTTTCCTCTGAGGAGCCTCTGGATGAACTTGAACCTCCAACATTTTGGTTAGCAGTTGAGCACATTAAGCGTTTACACCCCCAGGGACTTCCTATCCAGGGTCAGTCCCCAGCTTAAAAGGGTCCGCTGATGTTTCCCCAGGTATTGCTTGAATGCCTCCAGGGGTGGAGGAGTTGGCCATTGGCCACTTCACCAGGCAGTTGGTGTATGTTTCACGTTTAATCTAGGCTTTGGGGATTGCTTTGCACAGCAGCGCAGCGAGCTTGGGTGAATGACACAACAGAGCTCAGGTCTCGAGGGAGCACAAAGCCTGAGTGCTCAAAATGTGTTGGGCAAGTTCCTTTCTGCACCATAAAACCCCACCATCAAAGCTGACTATTAACATGTCTCATATATTTGGGAAAGCTTGGTCTTTGTCCCCACAGCCCCTGAGCTTTGCTCGTCAAAGCCAGGAACCCAAGGTCATGTTTGTGGAATCGACCTCCTGGGGTTCTCTCCTGAGCCCAACTTCCAGCTCTCCTGACCCAGCGCCTTGGTTCTCTGCCATTTCAGCTCCAGGGAGTGTACAGGTAGGCCTGTTGCTGATGTCATGTGTCGTCGGGTTGATTTTTACTCAAAGCAACCCCATTTGACAGAACTGCCCCATGGGGTTTTCTTGGCTGCAGTCTTTACAGAGGCAGATTGCCAGGTCTTTCTTCCCGCTAAGTGGGTTCAAATGACCAACGTTTCGATTAGCAGCCAAGTGTTTAACTGCACCACCAGGGCTCCTTAGAGGCAGGCCTGCTAGCTGGCTTTATCTTCATTGGCTGCTCATTCTGGCAGGCTGAGAGAAGATGGGTTAGCCATCTCTCCATGCAGGTCAGCCCCTAGGACCAGGGGTGAACAGGAGGCACCTCACCCGGCAGCCTTGAGTAGGCTGCCTGAGAGCCTGGCTGTCATTCCCAGCTCCACTGCCAACTCCTTGGGCCTCCGACTCTCCTCAGGAAAATGGCAACTTCTGTGATGGGCAAGGAGCTCGGCCACCTGGATCTGAGTGCCACCCAATCAGGGGATGCGCACAGCAGACCCCTGGGCTATTTCTCTGACACTCGCCCCACACCCAGCTGAAAATACAATGGAGCCACTATCCCTGAGAAAACTCCAAAATCTAGTTAGAAGCCGTGGCTGCCAGATTCTCGGCTTCAACAAAGCCAAGAAGCACCAGGGGGAAGTCACTGCCCTCGTGCTCCAAACTGAGACCTGAGGAGCCAGAAACACAGCCTGAGAGAGTGAGTCCCTGTACTGTAGACCTTAGGGTTAGTTTCTTCAGTGCCATTCTAGAAGGAACTCCCGGCTGGAATCCAGCACTCTTGTGCTCCCAGCCTGTGCAGTCATTCACCATTCTGTCACCTTGGACAAATCCCTGGTCCTCTCCGAGACTCAGGTTTCCATCTCTATCTTGAGGGAGGTGACCTAGGGAGAGATATTCCATTTGTCCAACTCTAAGAGAATTAATGTGCATTGTTTCTGTTTTATAAAGTTTCACCCAATTCCCAGCTTGATGTAGAAGAGGGCAAAGTATGGGGTTTGGAGGCTGACATGTTGTGGATTCCAACCCCAAATGTGCCTCTTACTGGCTGTGAAACCTGGAGCTTGATTCTTAGCCTCTCTGAGCCTCAGATTCCTCATCTGTAAAATGGGGACAATAAAACAATGGCAGGTTTGTTGTGAGAATTGAATCAACTAGTACCTGTAAATCTCTCATCACAAGAGGAGACGCAAGGTAGATATTCATTCATACAACATTTATGGAGCATCTACTACACACCAGCAGTATCTAAGGCAGCTAAGGCCCTGGCAATAGAGAGGAGTGACTTGGTTCCCGCCCTCAAGAAGCAAAGAAGCAAAAGGAAAGAAGGTGTAGGGATAGGCAAGAACCGTGGTGGGATACAGTGGGGAACTCATTCAGAAAGGGTATACAGGGGAGGCCTCTGAGGAGGTGACATTTAAGCTAAGTCCCAAAGAATGAGAAAGAACCAGGCATGGAGAGTAGAAGGAAGAGCGTTCTAGACACAAGGAACAACACATGCTAGGCCCTGAGGCAGGAAACCGCTCTTGGTGTGTTCCAGAAAATCAACAGCAGCCAGTGTGGCTGGAGAGAAGCAGAAGACCGGGAAGCAGAGGTGGGGCCAGACCACAGGGGCTTTAACAAGGCATTCAGCAAATCATCTCCAGATAACTGCAGTCCCTCGTTTCTCAGAGGCCACTGTCCTTACCTTTACACAGAGTATGTATATATTACAGAGAGTATGTATATACATATACATGGAGCCATGGTGGCACAGTGATTAAGAGCTTAACTGCTAATCAAAAGGTAGGCAGTTTGAATCCACCAGCCACTCCTTGGAAACCCTGTGGGGCAGTAGTACTCTGTCCTGTAGGGTGGCTATGAATCTGAACAGACTCAACAGCAATGGGTTTGGTTTTTGGTTTTGGAAGTATATACATGTATATACATATCTCTGTATCTGTGTATATATCTATGTACATACATACATAGAGTATGTACATATATATTACATACATATAGTATATGTTCTATTAGTCAATGAGCAAGAAGCCCTGAAGGCACAGCTGCTAAAGGTTGGCAGTTTGAACCTATAAGCAGCTTCACTGGAGAAAAGACCTGGCAAACTGCTCCTGTAAAAGATTACAGCCTAGAAACCCTATAGGACAGTTGTACTTTGCCATATAGAGTCACTGACTCAGAATCTACTCGATGGTACACAATAACAGTCATGAGCAACCCACAACCAGGGAGGGTATCTCATGTGTCTTTGATCCCCAATATCTACCTGGGGTTCTATACTTTAGAACTGAATTGGGAGGTTACCTTTAAAGTTGGGAGCAGAAATTCAAACAAAAAATACCATAAACAATTCCAAGGACTCTGCTTTCCCCACCCAGGAACCTGCTAATTATTTCTTTGCTGATAAGCCCCAATTTTCTAAGATGTTTTTATGCTAATCAGGATCTAAGATGGGGTTTGAAAAAATTTGCTGAATAAAAAAATGAATGAAATGATGGCTAATTAATTCACTATTGTTTCACCCAAATTACAAAAGGCTGCTATGGGTCAGAATCAACTTGAAGGCAATGGGTTTGGTTTTTTGATTTAGGGACTGGCATGGGGGAAGGGGAGGCCATGCCATGGCAACTAGACCAGCCTGGAGAGGCAGCCATAGCTATCAGAATGTTTGAGCTCCACAGTGGCAGCTTTAGACAAGGCCTGTTAGCTGGAAGGCCCTGAGCCTTCTGGAATGCCAAGGGGCCGCTTCCCCTTCCTCAACACTCTTTACAGAGGGCAGTGAGAAGGGGCTCTTTCTCCCAGACCACCCTGTTTGCTGTCTAATGCACATTCTAATATGGAAACAGCAGGACATGGTGTCTGAAGAACCCAGTTGCACTCTAACCAAAACCGAACCAAACCTGTTGCCACTGAGTCAATTCTGACTCATAGCGACCCTAGGATGGGGTAGAACTGCCCCATAGGGTTTCCAAGTAGCGGCTGGTGGACTCAAACTGCCAACCTTTTGGTTAGCAGCCGAGCTCTTAACCACTGCGCCACCAGGTCTCCAGTTGTACTCTAAGGCGGATTAAGTCCAGATTTTTCTGGGAAAACAAGCCAGAGCACCCTACTGAGGTGTGCCTGCCTCTCATCAATGTTTCCTTCTAACCAATTTGTGCTCCTAGGACAGGTAAGGGCACACTGCTGAGGGCAAAGTGTTAGAGGGTAGTTGTCCAACTTGGGTTAAGGTTTAACATGCTTTGTATTTTGTCCCTTGTGGGGGGTGGGGAGGTGGAGTCTCAAATTCTTGTGTCCTTACAACATCTAGCCAGGTCTGACAACTGTGAAATCAGAAGTTGACTCACTGGCCACAGACAGGGCCACAAAAAGCCAGCCACTTGGGACCAATGACCAGCCATGGGGGAAGGCATCCCACCTTCTAGGAAGGGGCCAACTTCCAGAAGCCCCATTTAGCAAACATTTCCTGAACACTACTGGGTCCAAGCAGATTCTGGAGTTCTATGGTTACAGAAGAGTTCCTGGGTGGTACAGTTAACATGCTCAGCTACTAACTGAAAGGCTGGAAGTTGAGTCCACCAAGATGCACCTTGGAAGAAAGTCCTGGTGATCTACTTCCAAAGAATCAGTCATTGAAAACCCTGTGGAGCACAGTTCTACTCTGACACACATGGGGTCGCTGTGAGTGAGAACCGACTAGATGACAACTACTTCATTACAGAGCTGATTCAGGAGTTTACCTTTAAAGTTAGGAGCAGAAATCCAAGCAAAAAATACCATAAATGATTCCAAGGGAATACCCCACCCAGAAACCTGCTTATTTTATATTTACTAGTAAACCCCTATTTTTTTTAAGACTTCTTTATATCAACAGACTGCACTTACTAAGTGACAATTCGTTTCCCTGCCCCAAAGGACTTCTGATCAGCAAGAAAATGCCGGTGAGCCCACACCACCCAGCTGAAGAAATTCCAGCTGGAGGCAAAGAAACTTGACATCTTTGATCGCGCAGCTCTGGGGCCTGGAAACGCGTGTGTCAATATTTAAGTGGCTAAAAATACCAGGGTTAATGTTCCCGCGGTTCCAGGGTTAGGGGCTAACCTTCCGGATGAAGAGCCAGCCGTAACCTGCTGTCTCGGGGAAAGAAACACACTCCAACAGCTTTGGAGAAGGCAGCATGACTGCACGCAGCCTCTCGGTACCAAGAACCGTACTTGCTCTGCTTATCAGGAAGGCAGCCTTACACATTTCATTTCATTTTGTATTTAATTCTCACACACCCCTGCAGAAACTGAGGCTGAGCTGTTAAATAACTTGCACAGCTAGAAAGTTACCAGGCTGTATTCGAACTCACGCGCACTATCCACAGATGGCTCTTCAAGAGTGACACGTCCCTGGGCCTCCATGCACCCACCCTTTCCCACTCCCAAGGGCGGGAACGGGAATGAGGGCTAAAAAGCTCCTCAAACTACACCAAGGGTCTTCAAGGGTTCTAGCAAGGGCAAGGATGGGCCCCACGTCCTCCTTGGAACCAGAGGGCCTGGGTCGGGCGCTGGCGAGGGGTAAAAGGGATGGGCGAAAGCTCGAGGTGGAGAGGGGAAGATGGAGTGGGGGTCCCACCCTGAGGGGGCGCCCTCCCTTCGCGAGCCGGGAAGCCGAAGCGCAGCAGCTCACGTTGGTTTTGGTGGAGAAGACGCCGTAAGGCAGGTTATGGATGGGGAAGTCAGAATCCTCTGCCACCGGGATGAAGGACATGCTGGCGAGCGCTAGCAGGGCGGCGGGCGGCGGGCAGTGAGCGGGACTCGGCTCGGCCCGGGCCGTTAGGCTGAACCGCAGCCCTAGCGGAATCCAGCCGCGCCTCCGTCCTCAGGCCAGCCCCAAAAAGCGGCCCCAGTGACCTGGGAGGGGCCCGGCTCCCGCCCGTCTATTGGCCCCACCGACAGCTGCCCGCCCCCTTCCCCAGGCTCGCCCTTGAGCAAGCCCCGCCCCCTAGAGCCCCGGCCACTCCAAGAGCCCCGTCCCCTCCGAGAGCCCCGCCCCTGAGCAAGCCCCTCGGCTTCGCGAGCTCGTCTTCGAATCTGTCGTCCACGAGCTTTCACTCTAGCCGCCGGCACCGGCACGTTAGTCCTACCGAGAGCCGACTCCATCTTCGCATTTAAGACTGTCCTTCAGTCTCATTTCCCTGGCTACATGCCTTGCTCTCCAGCTCAACAGAACGCTTGTCCGTTTCCTGGACACAGCATATACTTTATCCCCAGATGCTGCCTCCTGGGCTTCGGAAGGATACTTCGAGTAGCACTCTCTCTACCTTTATAAACCATGCTAATCCGTCCAGCTGTGACACATTCACTTACATATCGGTGCAGGTGAAAGCAATGCCGGTTTCGGAGGCTTAAATTAAAGGGAAACAATATTCTAAAAATTATAACTCATCTGTTCATTTTAGATTCCAGTATTGAAATGACGTTGACAGCTGTTTGACCTTGGACAAATTACTTAACCTCTCTGTGCCTCAGCTTACTTTTCTGTATAATGCAGATAATAATAGTTCCTACTTGACAGAGTTGATATGAGAAGTCAGTGAATTAATGTTTGTAGAGGGCTTAGAATAGTGTCTGGCACATAGAAACTGTATGTACATGTAAAAAAAAAAAAAGGAAGGGAGGAAGGAAATTTATATTTTAACTTTTTCCAACGGAGGTGTTGTAGTTGAATGGACTCCGATTGTCTGGATTTGTCAGATTCTTTGACATTTTAGCTGTTTAACCTTGGGGAAGTCAAGCTCTCCAAACATCACTTTTGGCAAGTCTGTAAAACGGGAGTAGTAATAATACCTGTTGTTGTTGTTAGGCGCCCTGTAATCAGGTCCGACTCACAGCAACCTCATAGCAACAGAAGGAAACACTGCCCAGTCCTGTGCCATCCTCACAATCGTTATGCTTGAGCCCACTGTCGCAGCCACTGTGCCAATCCATCTCTCTGAGGGTCTTCCTCTTTTTCGCTGACCCCCTACTTTAACAAGCGTGATGTCCTTCTCCAGGGACTAATCCCCCCTGATAACACGTCCGAAGTATGTGAGACATAGTCCCGCCACCTTTGCTTCTAAGGAACATTCTGGTTGTACTTCTTCCAAGACAGATTTGTTCATTCTTTTTGCAGTCCACGGTATATTCAATATTCTTCACCAACACTGTAATTCAAAAGCATCAATAATAATAAAAATAATAATAATACCTACTCATTAGAATTTCTTTGAAGGTCAGATAATGCCTAAAACAGAGTTAATGATTAATTAACTCCCCCCCTTCCCCTTAACATCCAACCAGAAAGCCGGCCATTCCTTTGTTTCTGGGTTTTGCTTTTCTTTATGAAGAAAACATAATTAAAATTAAAAAAAAAAAAAAAAAAGGAGGGAACACACTATAAAGGTAAGTCATCACTGACTTAAAGTACATTTAAAATATGAATATAAATTTCTTGGAAATCTAACAAAATTATTCTTTAGAAGAGTTTAAAATTATAAAAGTTATAAGGTGCATACTAGTTGTAAATACATGAGCCAGTATTTGAAACATTTATTTTCAATTAATTTGCTTTGGACATTTCTCATGACATTAGAGTTCAAAGTTAATGAACCAGTGGACACACACGCACAGCTAACTGAAAATAAATTTTAAAAGAAATTTAAGCCAAAATCCCAGAAATTATTTTGAAGATTTGTAAAACTAACCCTCCCCTTCAAAAACATTTTTAAAACGAATAATGATAAACAGGCACAAGGACTTAAAAGTAAACAAGAAGTTGCAATACCTTTGCCTGGAATATCCTGCCCCTTCTCTCTTCTTAGAGCCCTGGTGCCAAGTGGTTAAGTGATATGGCTGCCAACCAAAAGGTTGGCAGTTCGAATCCACCAGCCCCTCCTTGGAAACCCTATGGGGCAGTTCTACTCTGTCCTACAGGGTCACTATGAGTCGGGATTGATTTGATGGCAATGGGTTTTTTTCTCTCCTCTCATTCACTATCCTCCTCTCTAAATCAGTTTAAATTATCCTCATTCTTCAAAGAAGACATTTTGTCAACAGCCAGACCCAAGTCCCCAGGCAGTTCCTCCCTCACGTTCTTCCTGTTTTTCCACATCACCTCTCAAATAAATCTGAATTTCACCAAGATCAACAGTAAAATGTGTACCAAATAATGTGTAATTAGTAATAAAGTGTTAAGACTGTGAGTGATTTATGTTTAAAAAAGAGAGAATAAGAAGCTAGGGCAGAGTCAAGGTGCTGTCTGTAACGACTCATGCGCAGTCAGATAGAAGTTTTTGAGCTCAGGTTACAGCCGGTATGCTGGGAACACACCTGGCAGTGTGTTGTGTGTGAATGCTTCGGGCACAATTTTAGGAGCCAGGATGGTGTCAGACCCTAGCGAAGTTAGAAGTGGAGACGGTAGTCTGGGGAAGGGTTCCCTGAGGTCCTTGAAGAAAGACACAGTGAATGCCGAGTTCCGGACACTGCTCTGCAGTTTGGCTTTGAAGGAGGAGCAGCTGGAAGCTGGCAAGATAACGTGAAAGAACAGGAACCAAAACCGGAAGCCTGAGATGTGGGACTGTTTCAAGTAGTAGGGCTAGCAGCTGAACACCCTTTACTAGGTCCTGAGGAGACTCTGGCATCGTCCACCAAAGTCTGACCAGTGGTCACTAGCAGCTCAATCCAGGCGCAGCCTTTTGGCCCTCATCTCTCTACCAAGCCCTGACCTCAGCTTCAATAAATCTTCCCTAGGAGGGATAAACGGCAGTCCCTGGCAGTGGTAGGTGGTCGGACTTGTTCTCGTAGGTTCCAGAAAAGGGAAAAGGGAGAGGGGAGTGTCTCAACTCCCTTTTGTGGCATTATAAAAAGGCATTCCAGGCAGCACTTAGTACCTAACACACTGGGCTGCTAACCAGAGGTGCCTTGGAAGAAAGGCCTGGCAATATACTTCCAAAAAATCAGCCACTGAAAATCCTATGGAGCACAGTTCTACTCTGACACACATAAGAGTCACCATGGGTAGGAATCTGCTTGAAGGCAACTGTTTTTTTTTTTTTTGTTTGTTTGTTTGTTTATTGTTGTAGTTTAAGTGAAAGTTTATATTTCAAGTTAGTCTCTTATACAAAAAGTTATACATACATTGTTATGTGACTCTAATTGCTCTCCCCATACTGTGACAGCACACTTCTCCTTTCCACCCCTGATTTCCCATGTCCATTCAACTAGCTCCTAACCCTCTCTGCCTTCTCATCTCACCTCCTGACAGAAGCTGCCCATTTAGTCTCATGTATCTACTTGAGCTAAGAATCACACTCTTCACGAGTATCATTTTATGTCCCACAGTCCAGTCCAATCTTTGTCTGAAGAGGTGGGCTCGGAAATTGTTTTAGGTCTAGGCTGATAGAGAATCCAGGGGCCATGCTTTCTGGGGTCCCTCCAGTCTCAGTCAGACCATTAAGTCTGGTCTTTTTACTAGAATTTGAGTTCTGCAGCCCACCTTTCTCCCACTCCATCAGGGACTCTCTGTTGTGTTCCCTGTCAGGGCGGTCATTGGTGGTAGCCGGGCACCATCTAGTTCTTCTGGTCTCAGGATGATGAAGTCTCTGGTTTATGTAGCCATTTCTGTCTCTTGGGCTAATACTTTCCTTGTGTCTATGGTGTTCTTCATTCTCCTTTACTCCAGGTGGTTGGGACCAATTGGTGCATCGTAGATGGCCACTTGCTAGCTTTTAAGACCCCAGACGCCACTCACCAAAGTAGGATGCAGAACATTTTCGTAATAAGTTTTGTTATGCCAGTTGACCTAGATGTTCCCTGAAAACATGGTCTCCAGACTCCCACCCCTGCTACTCTGTCCCTCAAAGTGTTTGATTGTATTGAGGAAACTTCTTAGCTTTGGTTTAGTCTAGTTGTGTCGACTTCCCTGGTAGTGTGTGCTGTCCTTCCCTTCACTAAGATAATTCCTGTCTACTATCTAGTTAGTGAACAACCCTCCCCACCCTCGTAACCATCTGCCTTAGTCATCTAGTGCTGCTGTAACAGAAATACCACAAGTGGATCGTTTTAATGAACAGAAGTTTATATCCTCACAGTTAAAGTAGGCTAAAAGTCCAAATTCAGGGCGTCAGCTCCAAGGGAAGGCTTTCTCTCTCTCGCCCTTCTCATCAGTGTTCCCCCAGACTAGGAGCTTCTCAGCGCAGGGACCTAGGTCCAAAGGACACGCTCTGCTCCCGGCACTGCTTTCCTGATGGTATGAGGTCCCCCCACCCTGCCCCCGTCTCTCTGCTCACTTCCCTCTTTTATATCTCAGGAGATTGCCTCAGGACACAATTCAGTCTTGTAGATCCAGTCCTGCCTTACTAACACAACTGCCATCCGTCCTCCCTCATTAACATCATAGAGGCAGGATTTACAACATGTAGGAAAATCACACAGTACCAGGAATCATGGCGCTGCCAAACTGATATACACATTTTTCGGGGGACATAATTCAATCCATGACACCATCAAAGACTGTTTTCCTCTGTGTTTAAACCTTTTCTTGAGTTCTTATAACAGTGGTCTTATACAATATTTGTCCTTCTGTGACTGACTAAATTCACTCAATACAATGCCCTCCAGCTTCCTCCATGTTATGTTTCACGGCTTCATCATTGTTCTTTATTGTTGTATAGTATTCCATTGTGTGGATATACCATAATTCGTTTACACATTCGTCCATTGATGGGCACCTAGGTTGTTTCCATCTTTTTGCTATTGTGAATAGTGCTGTAGTGAGCATGGGTGTGCATATATCT